TAGTGAAAGGTTATCAATTTATCATTATTGGACGATATGCAATTAATGATATTACTAATGGTCACTCAGTAGTCGAAATTCGACGGTAATTAATCTTTAAATTTTGAATTTTGAATGTAATGTAATGTCTCTTGCGAAATATACATTTATATATAAATATAAATATAAATATATATATGTTTATAAATATTATATATTATTGCTGTTTATTTATAAATGTATTCACATGGAAATCCCCGTATACCAAAATGCAATGTAGACGTCATGTGGTCGTAGTTGTGAAAACCGAAAGTGATAGTTACAAGGTAACTAAATGGAAAACTAATTTTAGATTCCGAGCAAAGCAAAGAGCGTGTTATTTTTACTATGATATTTATTTATTATACGGCACGTGATAGGCGGGTGCCCCGAATGAAATTTCTAATTCGGCAAAACGAGTACCACTATAACGACTCGTGTACTCGGCTAATAATAATCGAAAATCGCGACAATTCTTTGCGAGTCCTGTAGGAGGTGTTTAATCGTTAAGTTCGGCGATTATTTTTGTGCTCGCTGAGTCACTCGCGGTTTCCCGTCGTTGTCGGTCCGACATGAGGGACTCATGCCGATAAGAAATTTAATCTTGCTTTCCCACATGACCCGTCCATTCTCACCACTAACTGTTTTGACATGTTTTAAGTATTGGAGAAAATCAAGTGTAAAGTACAAATAAAGTATACACAATGTTCGGATAATGATCGGCCAATTTACGAGTCGTGTGGGACCGGATTAACGTGTATAATTTATATACAGAGTGTAACAGGTTTACTTGAAAAATGTAATAACTTTTTTTCTATTAAATATCTTTATGTTAATATTTTTTATTATTATTATTATTATTATTATTATTATTACATCTTGGTGCTATGATTTAAATACTTTTTAGTTAGATTTTAGTATTTGGGAATTCGAAATAAAAAACTAAAATTAAATTTAAAAATCAAAAAAAAGTCGAGGAATCCATTTTATAAATCCGATTTTTCAAAAAATCCTAAAAAATATGCTAGGGTAACGTGGACGGATGCTACCATTATTATAGGCAATTTAATGTATACTTGTAAGCAACGATAAACTATTTCTAACGAAAAATTATTTTATTATTATAACTTTTTTAATATTATAAGTTGACTGCATGAAACAAAAAACAGGTACACATGGATACATTTAAATCTAGATAAAAGTTATATTTTTATTTTATCTAAATTTAGATGAATAAATAATAGGTTCTCTGAAATAAATAATTAAATCAATCAAATAAGTCTACTTAAATCATAATTTATACATTTATAGGAAGGAATACGTAAAACATTTAATTTACATAAATATAATTTAATAAATAAATAATGAAGTTATTTCAAACGCACAACCTTTTTGAAAATTATATACGTGTACCAAATATGAATGGTGCATACAGTATTATGATTCAAATTATCTCTTTTGTTTAACTACATACAAAGTTGATGTTTATTTTTCTTTATCTAGAAAACTAAATTAATATGTATCTTATATCTTCATCAGGATAATAATTATTATTTTAAAAATCTTTTATCATAATCTGAATGTTTTAAACAAGACTCATTTATTTAACTAAAAAACAAATTACAATCGTTCTGAGAGGATTGGTGACTGTAACTTTTCTTTAATTTCATTTGGTTTTTTCATTTTAATGACAAAAATATTGACAAAACTTGCATACTACTATACTGTCTAATGCCTATTAAAAGAATAGGATAATGTTTACTAACAAATTATATGATGTTTTATATAGGAATGCAAAACAAAATTTAATAAATTGCGTTTATGGGGTTTAAGTTTTGATCCTTCATAATCTTTACTAGGATACGGACAATTATTTACTAATTTCATTTCCAATTTATTATAAAAAAATGGCAAAATACACCTTTGAAAAACTAAATCAACTTTTTTACGATTTCCAGTGAAAGGATTAAGTTTCTATTTTCGAAATATCATAAGAAACTAAAATTTAATCATAAAAGAATAAAAATGCATTTATTGTTAAATTCAAAATTGAAATCAAGGATCAAATAAAAAAACTTTCCATAGTCTCTGTGGGTTTATATTTTAAATTGACTATAACATACAGTATACACCGTCACCCTTAACGAATTTTATCAAGAATTTGTACTTCACTTCCTTTTTCTCAGTTATTTTGTCAAAACACGGTGAATACAAAATCTAACGAATTTTCAATAAGCCGAAAATCATTGAACGTTTATAAAAAAACAAATATTTACAATAACAATATTTAATAAAAATGAATAACTTTACCTGGAGGTGCTTTACCATGGTAATCGGTTGGCGATACTATTAAGCTAGCAAACGTCATTAGAACGTACAAAATGGCGAACATATTATTAAACATAACTATTCTGTCGTTTTCGTACCGAAGACGCGTGTTTCTCATCTATCCGTCGTCGTCGTAGGCGGATATTAACGGCACTGTACAATTAGACTTCTCAAGGCCTCTGAAAAATGCGTATGCATGATTTTAGACAAGATAGATCTGCTAGATGACAAAACATTATTAACAGTGTTTCAATATTATATAGTATAGGTTCGCATGTAGAAGGGTAGATTTCTATGGCAGTATGGCTAAGGTGTTCGGTGGTGGTCGATTATTTGGGTTTTTATGTTATTAGGATGGACCTTTGAATTTAAAAAAAATTTTAAAGGTTCAAGATTTATGTACGCAATCGTGTCTGAAGAGAACGGGTACTTAAAAACAGTCTTGTAGTGTCAGATTTCCCGTGTACTAACCTAATCAAAAATATAAACCACTAAAACAGTATGCTTATTATTCTTTTTCAAAGATATTCTGTACAAGTACCGTGGTTTTTTTAATTGAGAAATTAGGGTTTTCTCTTTTTTTTCTTTTGCGGTGTGTAAGCAAAATACTTTTTCTTATGAACATAATTTATTATATTACGATAACAAAATGATTAACAAATAGGTATTAATAATATTAATAATATTAATAGTAGACAATAAAATGAAGATGTTAATCGTTATAACCATTACCTTAACTAATAACTAATAATTAACTAATTAATAAAAGTACTCAATAAAAAAACAACTGCATAACAATTTTATTGATTTATTATGATTTTTATTGAATTAGTTATAATCAGGGAAGAGATTTTCATCAGTTATGTCAAAACCTATACATCGAGTGGTAAACAGATAATTCTTGATAATTCTAAAAGCTTGATTAAAAAATGCATTAAAAATTAAATATGTATTTTACTTTCATAGATATTGGTTAAATACTCATAGTACTAAAAATCATTTAAGTGAACCATTTCCAATAATTTGATAATAATTAAGACAATATAAAATTTGGTTAATACTAAAAAAAAAAAATATATGGCACCTGATGCGTAACTTATACTTATAAACTGATTTTCAATTTAATAACAAATCCAAAATATAGAATACTACTTACATATACCCCATATTTTTATTTTTTTTTTTTGAGTATTAATCAAATTTTATATTTTCTTATAATATATCAAATTATTAGAAAAAGTTCTCCTTAAAATTTTTTCTGATATGAACATTTAACCAATATTTTTGAAAGAAAAATACATCTTTTACTTTTTAATTTATTTTTTCATACTTGTATATGTAGATAAAAGGAATTTTGTGTATTTGAGAATTCTGAACGTACGAAATCGTATATTTACGACCATTTAATGGTTGGGAAAATGTGTAATAATATCCATAATTTGGAATTATCTGACAAATAATAATAAAACTAGTATTTATAATACTAAGTTTTTAAATTANCTATTGAATCTGCATAATGTCTATGTAAACGCAAAAATCTTATATATATAAGCGAAAAATATAGAATAAATTTCAATCACAGGAACTCGGGTGAATTTGAAAAAATTTGGTTTATCAAAAAAATTCTTAAAAAAAGTAATTTGTTATAAAAAATAGAAACTCATCTGCATTCGAAAAAAAAAAATCAATATTACGTTTAGGTGATACAGTATAAATTACTGCCAAGTAAAAAATAACCAAAGAAACCAAACTAAAATTGCATTATCCTGCGCAATGTTATTGAATGTTTTCAATATTTGCATTTGCATACACAATGTGTAAGCATATTTAAAGTATTATCGGTGTTAAAACTAAAATTGCAAAACACATATGCGAATAAATTTCTTACGTTTGATAATTGATTTACGTTGATATGCATGCGGTCGACGGTGTAGCAATAACTAAATGATTAAATGATAAAAATCAGACATTATATATACGGTAGCTAGGTATAGTATGTAACACAACGCCTATTCGTTAAACATAATTTAAAATGAGTTTCAATCTACCTAAATAAATAGCAATGATACTCAATTGCAGTTGTTTAAATTTGTATAGTTTAAAATCCAAACACAACTGTTGGCATATTTGGTAAATGTGAATGCGAACGAAAAGAAAAATATTTTTCTGTCTTTGAAAATTAATACGCAATTTTAAAGAAACGCCATTGCAACTTTGTAGTATAATTTTTATTTACCTAATCTACAACAGCGGCTGCACCCGCTTAGCTTCTTTTTTTATTTTTCTGTGTGTGAAAACATTTTGAAAAGAAAGCGATAAACACCAGGAATTTTCTTCGTAAGGAATTCTATTTAGTTGGTGCGATGGATGTAGTTCTTTTATTATCCAAAGGTTTTTCAAACTAAATTAAAAAAATGGAAAAAGAAATTATAGGTAAAACGGCAAATATTTAAAGCGCTACATCGTAACCGATTTCAGTATTTTTAATTTTTGCAAACTTAGTTTTTTCATTATTCCAATAGTTAAACGCTAAGATATCTTTTTAGTAGCATTTTAAGTCTTGTTTCTTTGTAATTTTAAAAACTAATGAGGAATAATCGGAAAAAACGTAAAACGAAATCTGCCAAATTTACGGCGTAACGATTCTAATATTTTAAATGCATAATTTATGTTTTCTAGTAGAATTATTGCTCCATTAGAAAAACAAAAAGGTGACATATTTTTGTTGAATTTTTAATCTAGTTGGTGACCAAGCAAGTCATTTTTTGATTTTCCTTTTATTTTTTTTTTATAATTAGAAAACTGAAAAAAAAAGCGAAGAATGAACGGGGTAGTTTACAAAAATAAATATTTTATATTAGGTAATCAATTTTGTTTTTTAGTAGAACTTCAGTTAAAAATATTTGTAAAAACTTGAAATTTCGATAAAAATTTATATTTACATTATCTAGATGTGATAAAATGTTCAAAATATTTAACTAAAATGTCAATTACTATTAGAAATTTGAATTCCTTGGGTTTTTTACGTAATTTTTATTTTTAACCATAACTGTTTACGTTAATATTCGTACCATGTATAATATCGAAGAGTACACTAAACGGATTCTTACCAAATCTTTCGGTTATAAGTAATTATATTATAGTAGTTTACAAAATTATTAATTTCATATACAAAGATTAATCGATTTTTTTGCTTTAAATTTATAGAGTAAACGATTTTAGGGAAAATACAAGGATCAATTATTAACTGTAAACCATTGGAAGGAAATTTAATTGATGCTAACTTGTGTATGTATAAAGTATCTGTTAACACCTATGAAATTAGAGGTAATATAACGCTTAATAAATCGTTTGACGATTCCTTCAACGTAAGTATATACAGTACATAGCCACATAGATACATAATTATCACGAGGAAATTTGTAAATGATAAAGAAGGCTTAACAATAAGAGTGTAAAGGTTGTCATCCATACATATATATAAAATAATGTTTTAAGCATACTAATACTTTGAAGATAATTCCTTTGATATTTAATTAAATATATGTGATCATATAATAAAGCACGTATTAGAATTACGTAATTGTATACATAAGATAAAACAACAAGCGATATCATTGATGACCCAAAAATAACAAAACCTCATACGTAAAAAATAGCTGTTAATTAAAAAAAAAATTCTAAAAATAGATAAAAAAAAGCTCAGATATTTTTAAAATGTAACCACCCATAGAAAAAACAAATTATTCTGTCGAAATCCCTTGGAGGAGCAAAACATTAGTTATCTTATGCAAAAAGTAGATAAAATTTCATTTTGAAAAAGGTGCTACACTTAAAAAAAAAGAAAATCCAAAATACACATAGTAAAACCAATAGATCCCTCGCTGCACTCCAATCTAAATTGCGGAGTTATACATCATAATAATATAAGTAATTCGCTACGCACCGAATCTTATATACTATATTCATTAAAACAATTATAAACGATGGAAAATAACATAGATTACAAATTAATAATTACAACCATATACGAACATTACATAAACGTATTGATAAACAGTGGTGTTATTAACGAATGTAATAACTACTAGTCCACCATTTTTATCAGGGTTGCAAATAAATTGCTATACTTCTCTATAAATTATTTACAAACAATTATAGTTTTCACGACTTTTTTCATTATATATCGGATTAAAACGTGTAAAGAATAACTCAACCATTACTTAATATATTAATTGGAAAATAATAAAATCAATGCAGGCAGTATCTTAATTTAAATTTATATTTTGAACTTTACTTGAAATTAATTAAATTGTTTTGTACGTCTTATTATATTAATTAATATTTACTACATTAAACTTGAAAATAATAATACACTAAGATATTACCGAGTTCGTTAATAATATATGCTCAATGGAAAAAAACAATATTCCCATATTTCATAATATAATAATAATAATTTAGCAATATTATAACCTATATATCTAAACAAGATTTTCGTCGAAATCATATGATATCTTACAATGTTTAATTTTATTTTATTTCTTTATCGTTCAGTACAACTGGTTGAACATCTTTAATGTTGTTGATTATGAGTTCATCCAATGTTGGATAAATTAGGTCCTTAAATGTTAGTGGTAACTGCAACAGAGGTTGGTTTCTGAGTGGATCATTACACCACATGGTCCAAGTTTTTTCTTCAAAGTCGAAAACACCTATAAATAATAAAAAAACGATAATTTGTTATAAACTACAAGCTTAATAGTCATAATTCATAACATTCATAAATCATGATAATTGAAATTTTTTGAAATTAATTCTAGAAACGCTAATAACATAACTCATTAAAAATTATAAATTGATTTATTTTGTTCAAGATTTAGAATTACTGCATTTATTACGTTCATTATAATATTCGAGTCCAATCATATTCAAACAGGAATACCAGAAACTGAGCAATTTATAAAACTCAAATTATTTCCCCGGTGTTGTAACTTACGATTATGAAAATTATTGGGGAAAATCATTACAAAGTATTCTTTTTTCTTTTCCTAAGAAAGAAACGTGTTATTGTTAAACTTAATATCTAATAGCATTTACCATTAAAGCCATTAATAACTCAGTGTTTGTTATTTATTCAACGCAGTATGGCATTTAAAACGTCAAAAATTGTACCTTTATTTTTACATCACAATTACCATAATGATGGACATTAACCAGCTAGAAATTTAAAAGTTACTTTTTTAGGTAATAACTAATTACTTTATGAGGAGTTCAGTTGATAGGATTGCTTTGTCAACATTATATATGTTGTATTATGGTAAAATAATTACAAATTATGTATTTGTTTAATATTGTACCTATATTTCCGTTTGTCTCCTATGTCTCTTTCAGTTTTCCCGGACCTCCCCAGTATGTTTTCTTTCAGAGAAAGTGTTATTATTGCAAATCGGAGCAAAACTGCTGCCAAAAATTGTGTACACAGAAAAAATAAATAAACATCATTCTAAAACCGATACATTCCTCGATCCACTCAGAATCATAAAAAAAAGTTTAAAAAAATAAACATCTTTTTAAAACCAACCTTTATTACATTCTTAATCTAAAACTGTGTATTGTTATACGACATGAATATAGCGTTAAGAGTCTAATTATGAAACCGGACATGAAGATTTATATTGAACCCTTAACACTTTTTGGATAGGTGTTCGATTGTCGTTATCGATACTTTGAAACAAAATGATTCGGCAAAAGCTTCTTCATTCGATAATAATATGAAAATAGAAGCTTCAGAAAATTTAAAAGACATATTAGCTTATTGTATTTTAATACATAATCTAATTATAAAATATATTCTCTTAACTAAAGAAGTAAGAAAACTATTGTAAAGCATTTAAGAATCATTATTTATACATAAGTTTTAATTTAGAAAATAAAAAAAATCTTATCATTTTGTTAATAAAATATATGTTTTATGTATTTTTAAAATAAAAGATAACTAAATTTCAAGTTTTATTTTTAAAAATTACTCAAAATTTTGGTTGGAAAAAAGCCTAAACGCATGCTTGATTCAACGGGGTTTTGCTGTACCGTGCCGTTTAATCCAATATTAAATACTACTATTTTGCTGTTATCCTGAATTTCGAAATACTCGGCTTCATCCCTATCATTTAATTACCTTGTCGTTACTACTTCATGTTATCTTAGTTCATTGGTCTAAATGAGCACTCGGTAAGTACTTATCCAACTAAAATAGTGTTGTATAAAATGTATTTACCTAAGTTTATTGTGTTCACATATGCAGTGTCACTATCACCGAAAATTGGATATACCCCCATATCATCTTGATTACCGAGTACAGTCAACAGCTCTGCCAAATTCGTGATCTTATCGTTTGGCATTTGTCCGGTTAATATTTTGTACCGATTTTCCCTAGTTAAACTGCCGTGGTAACCATCCTGGTTTAGTTCCGGGTATTTCAGATGAAGCAGTCTGAAATGGACAAAAAAACAATGTTTATATTGTGTGCTAGTGCTGTTGTTGTCCGAATTTATTACAACGCCTTATGACAAGTTTATACCCATTTATAAATACTATTTATTTTATATAAGTTCACTATAATAATATAAAACAAAATATACTAGAAAATCACTGATAATTGAAATAATGTAAACCATAATATTATCAGATGAAGAGATCTATCAAAATAATGATCGATTACTATGACATTCCGTGATTGTAAACAAATAAATAATGACATACAAATAAAAGCGATATGTCAATTGGTTTTACTTATGTAAAGGCATCTTGGGGAATTATGATATTGAAATTTAGACATTTATTTGTACCTACCTGCTAAATAAACATTCCATTAGTGTGAACAATTGCAAACATTTGAAGTCTATTATTCATCGTTTATTTATTTTGAGATCTAAACGCTTGAGATATTTTGTTACATGAAGTAACAAGAGCCTCTTAAGATTAAAATATTATTACATAATATTTTAATATTACATAATATGGCGATTAGGACTGAATAGAGTTGAGGCAACGTAATATCCTATGACGGGTTTGATTATGCTCATGTCGATCATTCAATAACCCAACCGCCCTGAAAACACTTTAATGCCTTCTTGTTCGTTCTAACCTCGAGTGTTGCCCTCTAATTTAAATTAATAATACAACTAAACAAAATGAAACCATTGAGTCAATACAACATAATTTTTAACAATTAATTTCTTAGAAGTTCACTATCAATAGACTACTTATGATCTATACAACAATGTCTTAGCTTTTTAAACCCATCTACTCTTAACGACAGGCGTTCGATGTAACTCTCCAAATCTTTATGTAACTTAATATTAGATTTTACTGATATCCTGAACCTCTCTCCTTAATCCAATTTAGAATTAATTCCATCAATACTAGAGACCCTAATCCTTTTACCAAACATTCTAAAATAAGAATTATATCATGAATTCCCCTATCAATCTCCTTATGACTGTGAGTAATAAATTTATATTTAATTATCATGAGCAGTCCTTGAACTTAGTTTTTTTAAATTTTTGTTCTAAACCAAAATCATAAATCATATTATATTTGTTTTGTGTTATAAGTAAACTCATAATTTTTCTTTGTACAGATCTATATATTATCACATTGTAATAAGACTCACTATCCGTTTATTTGAAAAATGAATAAATATAAAGTTTAAAAAAAAAAAATAATAATAATAAAGATTTAAAGTGTAATGAAGGAGAACGTAATGTGAGAAAGATGCTAGTAAATCAGGGTAATCAGGTGTACACTTAAATTTAAAACATAGGAAATAAAAACAAGGCTGGTATTAACACGATGAAAAGGAAGCTTAAATATTAAAGATTGAGCCCACGCAAATATAAATCGTGAGGTGAGATTTTTAATTGATTTCTACAGCTAATCTTAAGCCAAATATGGATGCTAGATTATCACACAGTATTTGAAAACTGGTCTTACCAAACAGTAAAAGTTCCTATAGTAAAAGTTGGCAGTCGGAGAAGGAATCTATATTTGAAAATATAAATGTTGGATTTCCGGTATTTCCGGTTTCTAGTTGAAACTTTCTTTGATAGAGAAATAATTTATGGTTTCTAAGAACTTAGCTAATTATCGTATAGCGGCAATGGATCTATACTTATAGAAACATCAGAAGGATCTATAGAATTGAGAACAGGTGTGATACAACTGGTTTCTCACACCAGGGGGACGATTCCTTCATCGAAGGAAAGTCTAAAAATAATATAAATCAGAGAAGCAATAGTACGGCAACAGTTATATAATATAAATTCCATCTGGACCGTTGGATTTTTTTTTTTAAGAGTTTCTAGCGTAGTTAGAACGTCATAGAGAGAGGAATAAGATGGCAGGTAATACGGATATTTATTATTAGGGAATGTCTTAGGGGGAGAGGGTAGAGGACTACAAAATGAGACTTTAAAATGGACAAGAAATACGTAGAGAATAAATTTGCAGTACATTTTTTCAATTTGTTCGTAATTATTAGGAAACTTATGCAACTTTCTTACACATAAATTAAATAACATTTTCTTTCGGAATTTGTCAAACTTAGATAACGATTTCTGGTTAAAAAATTTTAATTTTAAACTTTTAAATAATGATATTGATTTCCGATATTTTTTGGCTTTTCCCAAATATTATGAAAAATACTTTATGTATCAAAATAATACTTTCTTTATCAGTGGCTAGATATTAAATGAAAAGAAATCGATCTTTTATCATTTTTTGATTGGAGCAATATATCTAGTAGAAAATATAGTTTTCAAAATTAAAAACAATGATCGGTAGCGCCGCAGGGTACTGTAAATATTTACCGATTCACTTATAATTTTCTTATAGGTTTTTTTATTCTAATTATTTAGAAAACTCACTAGAAAATCAAAAAATGACCTCAAAGCACCAATCAAAGACAATTTTCTTTCTAAAAATATACTTCACTCTTTACATCGGAATAAGATTTCATTTCAAAAAGTTGTTTAGTGACCGAAAAAAACACACGCATCATAGTAAAACAAATCCCTCGTTTAAGCTCCGAAACAAAAACTGGATACTATAATAATACAATAATATTATTAAACCACTAACTACGAAAATACTCTAATGGAATACATCTTATTCCAAAAGATTTTGTTATTTAAGCATACAAATTGTAGAGGGAGTTGAAGTTTAAAACCCCTTTCAGACACATTTTTTATGTTAACGCTGTCTATGTATAATATTTTATCAACCTAACTTTATCCGTGGTTCTGTAGGGGTATTCAAATCTAAAAATCACCCTCGTTCCACAACAACATCAACGTGAAATTCATATTAAAATTAAAGCCAGTTTTTATTATTTCTATCCAACTAAAAAATAAAATCGTATTCCTGAATTTTATTTGATCTAGAGCGAACAAAAAGTGAATAAAAAAAACGAAGGGTTGGAATATATATAAAGCATATCGTATAATAATGGGTACAGAGAATACAATTGTCTCTATTTTTGGAAAAAGTCTGACTACGAATGACAAACCGTAGATGAAAATAATTTTTGGTCATAAGGAGTAATTCTCTTTATTTCAGTAAAGTGTTCTCTCATTAGTAGTTTCACGCTACAATAGAGTAAATACCTATTTGTATGCAATGAGTTGAAGCCCATGGGAAATCTAGTCAAGAAGGCATTGGAATATGGACCTGTAGGGTCGGGGACCACTTCGACTGTATGTAACTCCCGCTCTCCTTTGAGATTATTTAGGAAACCCAAGTTGACGTTGAATCCATTTGCCGTGCCACAACCCGGGTTAATCAAAATGAACATGATTTCTTCCAAGTCAGCCCTAGCGGCCAACAAAGCCCTGCAGACAATTTCCCGTGCTGGAAAAAATAAGGTTAAGTTAAAATAAAACAGATTATCACCGATAGAAACAGGGATGAACATCGAACTCACGAATTCTCCCACTGAGCGGTTTACTAACAAATATCTGGTTGACTGAGAAAATTAACCCAAACATGTTATGGCCACTGGCATATCCAGATAGATGTGCTACGTACGTGAGTGCTTCAAACTTCTCTTCTCTAGCAGCAAAAATACCACCTTTCTCGCGTTCACTCGGGATCACGTGTGCGGCTAATATGATATAGTTGTTAACCGTTTCTTTTACAGAGTCTTCGGTGTGGCCCAAAAACTGTATAATAAACCCAAACCGAACGTGTCATATATTAAATCGTAAATTATTGGTAAAAACCCTACAGTCAACATTTGCAACAGATACACGTTACAATCTATTCCGTTGCATAGTGAACATATCAACGCGTAACAAACAACGACACGCAACGAAGCTAATCCGCGTTCCATCGATTGACGACAAATTTACTCGAATTTGATGCGTCAAAAGGTATTGCGACTGGCACGGTGTATTGCTGTATCAAAGTTGGTCAAATTTAAAACCATAATCGGGCCTATATCTATAGTCGATTGCATGAATGATTAGTTTTCATGAAAAATATTCTTTGTTAGAAATAATCACAATAGCCCTGTAGTTTGATAACATTGATCGTTTTAGGAAAGTGATTATGCTTTGGACACGATCATTTTTTTTTTTATAAAAACTAAAATTTAATAATTTCTAAGTATTCCAAACTTAAATAACTTTTTTTATATTTTTAATATCGAAAAAATAAAACCAATGTTGCACAATGCAAATTCTCTTATATCTGTGATGAAAATTTAGCTTCTAATAAATCTATAGCCCGAGCAGATTTTTTCCACGTAGAACATTTTTTTTAGTCGAAATACAGGTAATACATATTTAGTAAATACTCTTGAATGACAAACAAATGCACCATGAGACCGTGGAAAGCATGGATTTTAAGCACTCAGGCTGTAAAGCCTGGGGTTTTTTAAAAAAAATTGATCTGAACACGAAATAGAAGAATCACACTACACAAGGTGATTTTTTTATGACGAACCGACAATTTTTTTTGGAGAATTTTATGTGACTGATATTTTTATTTTTTTATCTTTATGGAATCGTATAACTTTACGATTTTTAATTTTTTAGACCTACTCTTTGTAACTGTAATGAGTATTCATTTTGGAATTTCAAACAGCATTTCCTCCTCCTTTCAATCACAGATTTTGAACAAAGAATATTTTTCTAGAAATTTTGATATGAAAAACAATAATATCAGAATTACTGTTTATGAGATATAATAGTTCACGATCAGATTAAAGGAGTAAGGGAGAGTAATAAATGGTGCGTCTATTTTTAAACAATAAATTGAAGACTTTTCCCTACTCCTGCGGTTTGAACTTTAAACTGTACTAAATGTCTAAATAATCTCTATTTGAATATATGATTAAAAATGGGAGAGAATTGCAATTTAAAATAGTGTTAAAATAACGGCTAAACGATTCAATAATAGTTTTTAAAAAAATGACGTCAAATTTACATAAAATCTTCTTGCGAGAAAATTGCTGGTTTATGGTAAAAATATTACTCTGTAGTTAATCAGCCAGACATTTGCTAATCACTTCATCGACCTTTCCAGAGCTCTTATGGATAAGAGATTTCATAGAAGAATTAAAAATTAAAATACAAGTTACGAGAAATAAAGATTTTTGCATTTCTAGTAGTGTAGGTATATTTTTTTATTATTACTATTTTACCTGTGCAGAGTCCTGATTGACTAATATTGAAGTGCATCCAATCGGACCTGGGTCCGGTGTATTGTCATTTACGTTCAGAAGTAGCGTATCGTCCAATGTTATTATAAACAACTGAAACATAGGTATGTTTATTGAAATTTGGTTCTGTAATTAAAATTTATACAATATAATCGGGCATAAATTCATTATATGTGTTGAAAATTGGACAATGAAAACAATTCTAACATTATTGGGTTATAACTAGGGTTCGAAATTTCATTAAATAAGGAAAAATGAAAAATAGTAAACAGGTATAATTTATGCGTAAATTAAAGAAATATCCAAATATATCATCAGATTTTTTACAGTTCTTTTAGGGTAACCAAAATTATAAAAAAAAAAAACGGGATATACAATTTAATGTTTACTCAAAAAAACCATTAAGATTTTTTTTAAAAAATTCTATATTTTACTGTAACAAAAATAATCATTTTTAATTTGTTTAATAAAACACTTGTTTGCATTCCTTTTTTTGTCAAAATATTTTTACACTTAGGTATAGGTTGTCGATATATATTGTATATATATATATATATATATATATATATATTGTCGATTGCTCATCGTTTTTTTAATTACAATTTTTCGTGACAGAAAATAATATTTCCTGTATTGCTGCATTACATCCATGTATGACTAGAGAATATTCTACAACCTGCAAAAGTTGTTGAAAATATATATTATTTCCTTACTATATGTGCCACACCATCATTGAACACAGACACAATTATTTTTAAATTCTTTTAAATTGTTATTTATTACGTCATTGACTACATCTCATATAACTTAAGGACTATAAGGACTATCTTCAAAACACAGAACGAGAAGCATTCCGTATAAAGTTCGTCGGAACAATAGGTTATGACGATCAAGAAAGTGATAATTCTGTTTCAAATGGGACTATACGGACTAATGGGAATAAACAAACAACATCTAAAATATTTAAGTTAAAACGGCGAGCTTAAATCCAAACATGAACCGCACTAGAATTTCCTTATTTCACAAGAGAATTAAAAATTGAAATGTTTGAAATTCTAATAACTTCTTGTAAATACTCAAAATTCCTTAAAGATTATTATACATAATAAATATGAAATGTGCTCATTCCTTTTTTTTATTCTTTAGAGCTTATTAGTTTAATCTTTTTTATTATTATTATGTTTTATAATGTATAGCATTATTATTTATTATAATTATTGTGTTAATGCAAAACTTGTAATAATACAATTATTTTGTACCATGTACATGTATACACCATTATTTCTCAACAAATGGGAAAATCGTAGAAAAGACGGAAAAATAGGTACAATATTAAACAATTATTATTAAAGGAAATATAAAACGCTTATGAAATCATTTTACCATAATAATACATATATATTGTTGACAAAGCCACATTATCAACTGAACTCCACTTACAATCGTTTTTTCGATAACAATGGTTTATCGTTGCTTACAAATATACATTAAATTTTTTCCTCTACTACGTTCCCAACTTCTCAACTATTTATTATTTCAGTTATGGACAATTTAAATTTTGTTTAATGAAACTATACATACCACGCATTTGTGTTGTATATCTTCAAAACTTTTCAACTTTATTAACGAATTTTATTTCTAGCTATTCTGTGTTGTCCAGAAATGTAAAAATTATTATAAATAAGTATTTTTAAAAATAAATCAGATAAAATTCCAAATAATTCCCTTTTTACTACAGTTTTTTTGTTTTATTTTATTATTCTATTGTTTCTATTAATACCTACAATACATCAAAAGTCTCGTTTTCGTAGCTTTCATCATTATAAAGTTATACTAAACTATACGTAACTAGCTTAGAATTCTTTGAATCAATTATCGGTTTATAATGGTTACTGCAACCACTGTTGAAAGTTGGGAAGGTAGAATACAGACGGAAATAGAATGTATATCTGTAATCATTACTAACAAAAAAACCATTCTAAGTGGAGTTCAGTTGATAGTATTGCTTTGTCAACATTATACAATATGTCTTAATATTATGGTAAAAGTATTACAAAAGTATGTACATTAAACATTTTCTTTAATAATATTTGTTCAATATTGTACCTATTTTCCCGTTCTCCCGTTTTTCTTCCGGTTTTTTTTTTTTTTTTTTATTTATTTTTCTAATATATTTAGAAAACTCCAGATAAAATCAAAAAATGACCTCTTTAAAGTACAACCCTAATCAGATATCTTTTCAGTAAATGTGCTACACTAGTTAATCAAAAAAATATTTCTGATAGAAAAGTTGTTCACAAATAAAAAAAAAAAAACATTATTGGAAAAAACTATAAGCTTCTTCGCTCCGCTCAAGATCTAAAAATTGCAGTAAATATGGAATTATTAGGTATCGGACCTATATGATGTATTTTAAAAGTATAAAAATAAAAATAAATGTATAAATATATTTTCTTTTTTTCAATTTAATAAGATTAATTTGTATATTTCTTGTTTAATTATGTATGTTGGTTGATGACACAACAAAATAGCAGTAAAATAAAAAAAAAAGTGTTCATGAGTTGAAAAACGTTGAAGACACAAAATAAAAATGCGTGATAGGTATGGTTTTATAAAAAAATCTTAAATTACCCATAATTTAAAAATAAAAATGTTAGACCTCCCCCTTTAACGGGAGTTTCCCCGTTATTTTTTGAACACATTGTATATACAAATTATAAAGATGAAAATAATTTGTTCGTTATGCGTAATGTAAATTATCGTATTTGTTTTCTCCGACTATTTAAGGAGCATATTATCATTCAAACTTTAACGAATAACATTACCTGTTCGAATGGTACACCCGATCCGTCGGCCATGCCTTCCATCTCGATCACGTACTGCGGGAAGTATCTCCTACAAGAATCCAAGCTATCTTGGTATATCTTCTTGCCTTTCGGAGTCGCATATGCCGCCAGCAGATCCTTGAGTGGTCCATAGGCTTTAACATACTGTTGGATCATGTTAGCGTATACCCGTCCCTACGTTGAAAAAATTAAGGTTATCGTCAATCATATTATCCCTAACATTTTAAATCTCTGGAACTCATTCAGAGCTTTGACCGGGAGAATCCTTATTTTCGCTTCTGAGACCGATAGAAAACCCTGGGTCTGTAGAAAAGAACCTTCATAGAAGCATAAAAACAAATAAAACACGAAAGAATTCCACCGAGATTTTCTAGATTAATAATACCTATATCTGTTTTTTCAGATTTTGATTTTTAAACGGTTTTTCCGATGTTTAAACTGAGATCAAATCACTATTCTTTGGTTGTGTATTATTTCTTCTGACCAATCTACCTTATTTATAGGATAAAATATTGTATATACAACCGAAAATTACCGAAAACAACTACGGAAATTATAATTTATCGATCAGGTTCTGTTGAGAAAATAATAGCCATTCTACGCATATTATTATAGCTATCTCTCATTTCTGAAGTAATTTATATACATCTAATAACTAACGAATTTTCGTGAACGGTTTTTATTCCAATAAAGGTTTTATCTTTTTTAAGTTAATTATAGCCCCGTTAGTTATTAATTATTATTGTATTTATAATATAATAAGCAGAAAATCGGCAATTATTTTGTATTTACAAAATTGAGATTTGAATACGTACTAGATTATGTTATATAATGTTTACTATACATTTATAACGCATTCGTGTACGAACAGGTTACGTCTCCTGTGTTTTATAACAGAATATCTGCGAAAAAAAAATCTCGAATTGTATCCTTTAATGTTATATCATGCGTTATATGCGATGTACTAAATAATAATGTACCTCAGGTAATATAGTCGGAATTAAATGTATTATACTGAAAAATTTAAACATTTTTTATCATACTTACGACGCTTACTCCGACTTCGTAGTGGCAGCCGGTAACGTAGTGTACCGGTATGTAACTTTGTCTTCGGGGTAGAGTCGACGGTGAATGCGATTCTGTACCTAATATGGTATTCAGAACGTGATAATTTTTATAAAAACGACACAGCGAGGGAGAGAAAAAAAACACGGTTTTAACTTTGAATTTAAATTGATTTTTTTGATAAATTGATTCAGAATCTATAATCAAAATTGTATAATTATTATTATTATAATAATTTGGTGTTATTTTGTAATTCGCATTTAGTTTTATTAGTGAGCTATTCAAATTTTAGTACAAAATCTCACAGACATCTCTTTTTATTGGATTAATACAAATATTTATTTAAAATTTAAATTTTATTGTTTTGTCAATAAAATAAATTATTATTGTATTATTATACGTTTGATTAATTTTAGATTCAGTTGGGAGTTAGGGATCTCTTGATTTAACCTAAGTTAATCTAAGTGTTTCTTTTTCTGTCTAAAAAACTTATAAAACTGAAAACTTGCTCTAATCGAAAAATAATAACTGGGCTTTTTGTTGAATTTTGAATCTATAATTGATGAATAAAAAAATTGTTTTATGTTTTATTTACTTTATATTCTTTTAAATAATTGAGCAAACCCGGAAGAAAACGTAGAAATACGGGAACTTTTACGCAAATAATGGTTTCGTTATTTGCAATTTTTTTTTTTTTTTGCTGTAACTCAGTTAAAAATATTCGTAGGGACTTAAAATATTGGCAAAAAATGTATATTTGCCTATTCTAGACCGGGTAAACTTTGAGCATTTTTTAGCTATTTATAAGCTAAAATGTCTAGCATTTCTGTTTGGTCTAATAATATTTTCCACAGAGTACCTATAGCAAATAAAAATTACGTGGAAAAATCCCGTAAAATTAAAATGTCTATAAATATCTCAAAATGACTACAATGTTTTGAAAATTTTACCTCGTCTAGAAAAGGAAAATATAAGTTTTCTCTCCAAACTTCAAGTCTCTGTAAATAATTTTAACTAAATCAAGACAAAACAAAAAAATTGAAAACATAATACAATACATTTCCCGATTTTCCAATTTAATATGAAAACAGTAGGATAATTCTAAAAATGACCTCCTTAAAGTACCACCTCAGTCAGATTTGCTATCAGAAAAAGTGCCATACTTAAAAAACGGAGCAAAATTGCTGATAAAAAAGTTGTTCACAGAAAAAAAATACACTTCATTATAAAACCAATACATTCCTCGCTCCGCTCAGAATCTAGAAAAAAAATTGATACACAATCACTTTGAAAAAATGACTTCTATTCAATGAAAAATAATACAATATCGTACAGTACTTTGTTAGTAATAACACCCCAAACTCCTTGTAAAATAAATGGTGCCATATTTTCCCGGGCAGTAATGTTCCGAATCATAATAACCACAAAAGTAAATATCCAGGCTATATAACCCGGAAAGTAGAAATCCGGAAGGTAAATACCCAGACCGTAATAACTTGAAATGTCAAATCCCAGAACGTCATATTCTGGAAATTATAATTTCCCAAGCCGTAATATTATAAAAAGTAGAGACCTGAATCTTTAGATATACTTTCGAAAAGAAAAATATCGGAATGTGAAATCCCACTAAGATCCCGAAAAGTGAAAACCTGATCTGTATTGTTCTGGAATAAACATCGAATATTGATTGGTCAAATATTGTACCTAGGAGTTCAATAATAAATATATTAATATATTATTCGAAATATCGAATATGGTAACCGAAATATCATAAAACTAATTTTTACAATTAATAAAGCGTATTTAATTTGCACCCGCGATTAATAATACCAACAAACAATCTTTTTAAAAATATTTCCTATTTACACATAAGTATTTAGTATTTTAAAGTATTTAAATTGTTTAAAAATGCATATACCATGTTATAAATATACTATAACAATAGGCAACAAATATTTAATACATTTATTAAAAAAAAAATGCGTTGAATTTTTTCACGTCAACATTTTTGCGTGAAGTGACTGTTTTAAAATAGCATATATCAATTTATTTTCATATATTAATATACTGTATATAACATTAAATCAATGATAAATAATCATAAAATAATAAAAATGCATTTATTGTTAAATTCAAAAGTGAAACTAAGGATCAAATAAAAAAACTTTCCATAGTCTCTGTGGGTTTATATTTTAAATTGATTATAACATACAGTATACACCGTCACCCTTAACGAATTTTATCAAGAATTTGTACTTCACTTCCTTTTTCTCAGTTATTTTGTCAAAACACGGTGAATAAAAAAATCTAACGAATTTTCAATAAGCCGAAAATCATTGAACGTTTATAAAAAAACAAATATTTACAATAACAATATTTAATAAAAATGAATAACTTTACCTGGAGGTGCTTTACCATGGTAATCGGTTGGCGATACTATTAAGCTAGCAAACGTCATTAGAACGTACAAAATGGCGAACATATTATTAAACATAACTATTCTGTCGTTTTCGTACCGAAGACGCGTGTTTCTCATCTATCCGTCGTCGTCGTAGGCGGATATTAACGGCACTGTACAATTAGACTTCTCAAGGCCTCTGAAAAATGCGTATGCATGATTTTAGACAAGATAGATCTGCTAGATGACAAAACATTATTAACAGTGTTTCAATATTATATAGTATAGGTTCGCATGTAGAAGGGTAGATTTCTATGGCAGTATGGCTAAGGTGTTCGGTGGTGGTCGATTATTTGGGTTTTTATGTTATTAGGATGGACATTTGAATTTAAAAAAAATTTTAATGGTTTGAGATTTATGTACGCAATCGTGTCTGAAGAGAACGGGTACTTAAAAACAGTAGTGTCTTGTAGAGTCAAGTTTCCCGTGTACTAACCTAATCAAAAATATAAACCACTAAAACAGTATGCTTATTATTCTTTTTCAAAGATATTCTGTACAAGTACCGTGGTTTTTTTAATTGAGAAATTAGGGTTTTCTCTTTTTTTTCTTTTGCGGTGTGTAAGCAAAATACTTTTTCTTATGAACATAATTTATTATATTACGATAACAAAATGATTAACAAATAGGTATTAATAATATTAATAATATTAATAGTAGACAATAAAATGAAGATGTTAATCGTTATAACCATTACCTTAACTAATAACTAATAATTAACTAATTAATAAAAGTACTCAATAAAAAAACAACTGCATAACAATTTTATTGATTTATTATGATTTTTATTGAATTAGTTATAATCAGGGAAGAGATTTTCATCAGTTATGTCAAAACCTATACATCGAGTGGTAAACAGATAATTCTTGATAATTCTAAAAGCTTGATTAAAAAATGCATTAAAAATTAAATATGTATTTTACTTTCATAGATATTGGTTAAATACTCATAGTACTAAAAATCATTTAAGTGAACCATTTCCAATAATTTGATAATAATTAAGACAATATAAAATTTGGTTAATACTAAAAAAAAAAAATATATGGCACCTGATGCGTAACTTATACTTATAAACTGATTTTCAATTTAATAACAAATCCAAAATATAGAATACTACTTACATATACCCCATATTTTTATTTTTTTTTTTTGAGTATTAATCAAATTTTATATTTTCTTATAATATATCAAATTATTAGAAAAAGTTCTCCTTAAAATTTTTTCTGATATGAACATTTAACCAATATTTTTGAAAGAAAAATACATCTTTTACTTTTTAATTTATTTTTTCATACTTGTATATGTAGATAAAAGGAATTTTGTGTATTTGAGAATTCTGAACGTACGAAATCGTATATTTACGACCATTTAATGGTTGGGAAAATGTGTAATAATATCCATAATTTGGAATTATCTGACAAATAATAATAAAACTAGTATTTATAATACTAAGTTTTTAAATTAAAAAGTACGAGAAATAAAAAAAAAATATAGACTGATTAACGGTCATAGTCTAAAATGATGTGTATTAAAATTAATACTTTGAAAGCTTATAAAAAAAATTGACAATACACTAAACTTTTTTTTTATCAATAAAATAAACTTGTGTAACTCTTGTTAAATTTACAAGCAATTTTGCATGGTCGAAATAATTGTATCCACGTAAAATCAAATATAATATAAAAATAGCGATTTGAAAATAAGATCATGTTTGTATAATGCTATAAATGTTACAATACAAGTATCTGTTGAATATTTCATGTCTTTATGATTATTTCTAACCGAATTGCTATAAAAAAATCGAAATCAAAATCAACAGAAACTATTAGTTTTACGTACTTTTTTCTGTTTTCCTTGATTAAAAAACTATTAGAAATTTCAAAAATTCCTCTTTTTGAATAAAACTAACTAGACAACATTTTTTAAAAGAATACACTCCCTTGAAACTGATGAATGGAGCAAGATTTCTGGCTGAAAAAGGGTTTGTAAGTATACGACTAAAATAAAACGATTTCGTCGTTGAACCTAACTATTGAATCTGCATAATGTCTATGTAAACGCAAAAATCTTATATATATAAGCGAAAAATATAGAATAAATTTGAATCACAGGAACTCGGGTGAATTTGAAAAAATTTGGTTTATCAAAAAAATTCTTAGAAAAAGTAATTTGTTAAAAAAATAGAAACTCATCTGCATTCGAAAAAAAAAATCAATATTACGTTTAGGTGATACAGTATAAATTACTGCCAAGTAAAAAATAACCAAAGAAACCAAACTAAAATTGCATTATCCTGCGCAATGTTATTGAATGTTTTCAATATTTGCATTTGCATACACAATGTGTAAGCATATTTAAAGTATTATCGGTGTTAAAACTAAAATTGCAAAACACATATGCGAATAAATTTCTTACGTTTGATAATTGATTTACGTTGATATGCATGCGGTCGACGGTGTAGCAATAACTAAATGATTAAATGATAAAAATCAGACATTATATATACGGTACCTAGGTATAGTATGTAGCACAATGCCTATAATTTGTTAAACATAATTTAAAATGAGTGTCAATCGACCTAAATAAATAACAATGATACCCAATTGCAGTTGTTTAAATTTGTATAGTTTAAAATTCAAACACTGTTGGCATATTTGGTGAATGTGAATAATTTTTGAAATGTATATTTAATATACATTTTTGTGTATACATAGCTACATAGTGTAGTTACACAAAAAATAAAATAAATATGATACTAATATGTAGATATTAAACTTAGGTCAATTTTTTGGTACCTAACACAAGTAATGAATTATTTTATAAATATAATAAAATTTCAACTTCCTAATTATATTACTACCTTCCTTTTGATATTTGGAGGCATTCGTAGTCGTGGATCCGGGAATAGTGATGATATCAATAAATTAAAACTAAAATATCGTTTTACCTACCCACAGTGTTGAAACGTCAGAGTATTTAGAGATATCTGTAGATATTCTTACGTGATCCTGATCCTGGGGTCGTTAAATGGCAGTCACAATTTAAATAAAATATCCTAAGTTTGATATTTTACATTTTGAAACTAGGTACACTCTGATACCAGTATTAATATTTAAATTAGGAAAACAAAAGCTTGTTTTGTAAAAAGAAATTAATAAAGAAATCAATCACGAGTGATTAGCTGTTAAAAGTCGGATGTAGCCTCGAGAGAGATTTTCGAAAGAAGGAGGTAGATCGTAGTTGTTACGTTCAGGGTTATCGACAGAGTAATCGTCTTGGGACTCACGATTTTCAATTGAAAATCTGTTACATTTTATTCGTTTTGAGGTGCTTAGAAACCAAAGTGGTAGTGACAACGTGTTTTCATACATTTAAATGAAAGACTTCATACCAAAACGATATATTTCGCGGTAGACAATTGTTACCGCAAGTCTTGTGGTGAAATTATTTTTTTCGCTGCATGCATTATTATTTTTCTTCCCGCCGCGATAAATGATTTTACAAACTGAAAACTGTAGTCAGTTGATCGTCAGTCATATATAATGTGACAGGATATTGTGGAGCATACCTTTTTTAATATCAGTAAATTAAATTTTATCTTTAATTAAGCTATATTTATAATACCTTTACTTATAATTCAATATATACCTCAACGATAAATGATAAATATTCTAAAATTATTATAGATACGTAAGTACTCGGTGTATTACCAATATTCGTTTAGTTTGTTCAATATACGTTTGTGTAAAGTATTAAAGTATTATCATCATCATCAGTATATGTTGGTTAACCATGGTTAACCATGAAGACACATAACTGAACTAAATAAATACCAAACGGACAAGTCAAAATAAATTTAAATTTAAATTACTTAACTGATAAACCCTGATCAAGAATATAATAATATAAATATACACAATATTAATACATTCATCTGGAGGGGGTAAAGTGGGAGGATTTATCACCTATACATTTTCATCAAATTATCAAATACATGAAAAATTGAAAATTAACGATCTTTTATGAAATATAAATTTCGTGTTTCATAATGAATATTTTAAGAATACAATAAGGTTGGCCTGTACTCTTGTGTAATGTGTTTTGTTATTTGCATCTTTGACTTGATGAAAGGTATAAAGTCTATCACTTTTTATTCATCTACTCTATGACACACAAGTATTATATAATGATATTCTTAAGCTGAGCGTCCACTAGGGCGGAATATCGGAGCGGCGCGTTGTGTTCTACATGAGTGACGTTCGTCCATTAGGTGTGGCACGTTGCTGCGCAATATGGGTACATGTATTATTATTAATCAAAAATATAATTAATTTTATTATCAGTTTTTCAACTTATATCTGCAGTAAAGCCTAAAGGTATACGTATATTTTCTAAATGTAAATGTTCGGTTAGTAATCAGTGACTATTTTTCCTTTAATCTTCAATTTCTAACAAATATTTACGGTGTAAATATTTCATGATTTTTTATTTTTATAATTTATGATTTATGACTGGAAATCTTGCTTTAATCAAAAAAATGACAAAAGGCTTTTTGTTGCATTTTGGATATAGTTGCTTACAAAGGAAGTCGTTTTTTGTACGTACTATTATCCTCTATGCAGTTTATCACTAAATAATAAAACAATTCGTTTATTTTATTATTTTTTTGTTTTTTCTGTATAATAATTATTATTTCTACCGTGTAAGATTTACAAATTTTTACCTAAACTTAAGTTTTTTAAATATTTTTTATCGCAACAATTTGGATTTCGTACATATATTTCTACTTCCTCAAACTTAATTTCGTATCATTAATATTTAATTGATGCTATTGAAAATGGCAGTCAAGTTGATGCTATCTATGCTGATATCAGTAAAACAATTAACACAATTAACGACGCTGTGCTGATTCATAAATCAAATATAATAGATGTTAATAATTTCAGGTTAATTTAGTTGAGCTCATATATTTCTGGTCGTTTTCAGAAGGCTAAACGGTTATATTTCAAATAACATCAAAGTCCCCTCGGGTGTCTTCCAGGGTGGACATATTTCACCACTAATTTTTATTTTGTACATGAACAACGTTTGTCTAATTTTTAAACATGCAAATAAACTATAATACAATATTAATTATTTAGGTGATGGCTCTAAATTACAAGAAGACTTTGATAATATCAGAACCGGGTGTTATGAAAATGATCTACAAGTTAACATTAATATTGCAATTCTATTTTTTTTATCGTAATAAATCCCCGATTAATATTGTCTAATATTGTCTGATAATTACCACCTTCCTAAAGTTGACTCTATAAAAGATTTTGGAATTATATTTTCAATCTCCCTATTTTTTTCTACTCACATTCAAACAATTATAATAAAAGCATCACGGACACTGGGTTTTAATATCAGAAATATTTGAGATTTTAAAAACATTCTATCACTTAAGAATTTTTATTTTTCATTTGTTCGTTCAATACTTGAATATAGCTCCATTTTATAGAATCCATAACAACTTATGTGGATTAACAAAATTAAAAGAAAGCAAAATACATTTTTTAGATTTATTTATTCTTATATTCCTAATTATTATATAGTCGCCAAACATTATTATGATCCCTTTAGAAAACTTGGATTTGTCCATTCTCTTAGTTCTAGACCAGTGGTGGGCAAACTTTTTTAATGGGGGGCNCACAACGCCTATTCGTTAAACATAATTTAAAATGAGTTTCAATCTACCTAAATAAATAGCAATGATACTCAATTGCAGTTGTTTAAATTTGTATAGTTTAAAATCCAAACACAACTGTTGGCATATTTGGTAAATGTGAATGCGAACGAAAAGAAAAATATTTTTCTGTCTTTGAAAATTAATACGCAATTTTAAAGAAACGCCATTGCAACTTTGTAGTATAATTTTTATTTACCTAATCTACAACAGCGGCTGCACCCGCTTAGCTTCTTTTTTTATTTTTCTGTGTGTGAAAACATTTTGAAAAGAAAGCGATAAACACCAGGAATTTTCTTCGTAAGGAATTCTATTTAGTTGGTGCGATGGATGTAGTTCTTTTATTATCCAAAGGTTTTTCAAACTAAATTAAAAAAATGGAAAAAGAAATTATAGGTAAAACGGCAAATATTTAAAGCGCTACATCGTAACCGATTTCAGTATTTTTAATTTTTGCAAACTTAGTTTTTTCATTATTCCAATAGTTAAACGCTAAGATATCTTTTTAGTAGCATTTTAAGTCTTGTTTCTTTGTAATTTTAAAAACTAATGAGGAATAATCGGAAAAAACGTAAAACGAAATCTGCCAAATTTACGGCGTAACGATTCTAATATTTTAAATGCATAATTTATGTTTTCTAGTAGAATTATTGCTCCATTAGAAAAACAAAAAGGTGACATATTTTTGTTGAATTTTTAATCTAGTTGGTGACCAAGCAAGTCATTTTTTGATTTTCCTTTTATTTTTTTTTTATAATTAGAAAACTGAAAAAAAAAGCGAAGAATGAACGGGGTAGTTTACAAAAATAAATATTTTATATTAGGTAATCAATTTTGTTTTTTAGTAGAACTTCAGTTAAAAATATTTGTAAAAACTTGAAATTTCGATAAAAATTTATATTTACATTATCTAGATGTGATAAAATGTTCAAAATATTTAACTAAAATGTCAATTACTATTAGAAATTTGAATTCCTTGGGTTTTTTACGTAATTTTTATTTTTAACCATAACTGTTTACGTTAATATTCGTACCATGTATAATATCGAAGAGTACACTAAACGGATTCTTACCAAATCTTTCGGTTATAAGTAATTATATTATAGTAGTTTACAAAATTATTAATTTCATATACAAAGATTAATCGATTTTTTTGCTTTAAATTTATAGAGTAAACGATTTTAGGGAAAATACAAGGATCAATTATTAACTGTAAACCATTGGAAGGAAATTTAATTGATGCTAACTTGTGTATGTATAAAGTATCTGTTAACACCTATGAAATTAGAGGTAATATAACGCTTAATAAATCGTTTGACGATTCCTTCAACGTAAGTATATACAGTACATAGCCACATAGATACATAATTATCACGAGGAAATTTGTAAATGATAAAGAAGGCTTAACAATAAGAGTGTAAAGGTTGTCATCCATACATATATATAAAATAATGTTTTAAGCATACTAATACTTTGAAGATAATTCCTTTGATATTTAATTAAATATATGTGATCATATAATAAAGCACGTATTAGAATTACGTAATTGTATACATAAGATAAAACAACAAGCGATATCATTGATGACCCAAAAATAACAAAACCTCATACGTAAAAAATAGCTGTTAATTAAAAAAAAAATTCTAAAAATAGATAAAAAAAAGCTCAGATATTTTTAAAATGTAACCACCCATAGAAAAAACAAATTATTCTGTCGAAATCCCTTGGAGGAGCAAAACATTAGTTATCTTATGCAAAAAGTAGATAAAATTTCATTTTGAAAAAGGTGCTACACTTAAAAAAAAAGAAAATCCAAAATACACATAGTAAAACCAATAGATCCCTCGCTGCACTCCAATCTAAATTGCGGAGTTATACATCATAATAATATAAGTAATTCGCTACGCACCGAATCTTATATACTATATTCATTAAAACAATTATAAACGATGGAAAATAACATAGATTACAAATTAATAATTACAACCATATACGAACATTACATAAACGTATTGATAAACAGTGGTGTTATTAACGAATGTAATAACTACTAGTCCACCATTTTTATCAGGGTTGCAAATAAATTGCTATACTTCTCTATAAATTATTTACAAACAATTATAGTTTTCACGACTTTTTTCATTATATATCGGATTAAAACGTGTAAAGAATAACTCAACCATTACTTAATATATTAATTGGAAAATAATAAAATCAATGCAGGCAGTATCTTAATTTAAATTTATATTTTGAACTTTACTTGAAATTAATTAAATTGTTTTGTACGTCTTATTATATTAATTAATATTTACTACATTAAACTTGAAAATAATAATACACTAAGATATTACCGAGTTCGTTAATAATATATGCTCAATGGAAAAAAACAATATTCCCATATTTCATAATATAATAATAATAATTTAGCAATATTATAACCTATATATCTAAACAAGATTTTCGTCGAAATCATATGATATCTTACAATGTTTAATTTTATTTTATTTCTTTATCGTTCAGTACAACTGGTTGAACATCTTTAATGTTGTTGATTATGAGTTCATCCAATGTTGGATAAATTAGGTCCTTAAATGTTAGTGGTAACTGCAACAGAGGTTGGTTTCTGAGTGGATCATTACACCACATGGTCCAAGTTTTTTCTTCAAAGTCGAAAACACCTATAAATAATAAAAAAACGATAATTTGTTATAAACTACAAGCTTAATAGTCATAATTCATAACATTCATAAATCATGATAATTGAAATTTTTTGAAATTAATTCTAGAAACGCTAATAACATAACTCATTAAAATTTATAAATTTATTTTGTTCAAGATTTAGAATTACTGCATTTATCGCGTTCGTTATAATATTTATGCACGATGAATGATGATCAAGAATGCATTTAACTACTCTCTAATGAATGTGATTTTGACTTAAATCCTAACATTAGTTTTATGTCATAATTATGCACTATTTTATACTTATGAAGAAAATTAATTGGAAAACATTTATAGCTCGACATCAGTTGGTTAATTGTATGATGTCTTGAGTATAGATCAATTGTATTATAACGTACTCATATTCTTAACAGGATAAAATAACGAAAATAACCTAAATATTTCCATAGAGCACATGCCCTTCCACCTGTATCATTATATTTATAATAATAATAAATTAAAGATTAAATTATATTGTGTATATTAATAATTAATTTGACTGAAGTATCTGAGGTTTATCATTGGATAAAACGGATGAAAACATGTTCAGGGGTTCCTATATATGCAACACGACTAGCACGAAACAAAAAATTTAACCATCTAGAAAATAAATCGCATTAAAACATTTTTAACATCAGGAATACACCCATAGAGTCCAATAGTGTTCAATCAAGAATACCAAAAACTGAACAATTTATAAAACTCAAATTATTCACCCGGTGTTGTACTTACGATTAGGAAAATTATTGGGAAAAATTATCACAAAGTATTCTTTCATCGATTTCTAAGAAAGAAACTGGTGGTTGTTAAAATTAATAATTAATAGCATTAGCCATTAAAGCCATTAATAACGCAGTGTTTCTTTTTTATTTAACGCAGTATGGCGTTAAAAACATCACAAATATCACCTTCATGTTTACATCACGATTACCCTAGTGCTGGCCACTAACTAGCTAGAAATTTAAAATTTACCTTTTTAGATAATATCTTATTACTTTATGCGGAGTTCAGTTGATAGTGATGCTTTGTCAACAATATATATGTTATATTATGGTAAAATAATTACATATTATGCATTTGTTTAAAAATGGACCTATTTTTCCGTTTTTCCTATATTTCTTCCGGTTTCCCGGACCTCTCCAATACGATTTTTTTTTCAAAAAAAAAATGCTATCATTGTAAATCAGAGCAACACTGCTGCTAAAAAAGTTGTTCACAGAAAAAGAAATAAATAAACACCGGTAAATTTCTCGTTTCATGCAGAATCAAAAAAAAAATTTTAATAAAATAAAAATTTCTATAAAACCATCCTTATTTATGATCTATAACTGTACATAATTATACTACATGTATATAGCGTTACAAGGGTCTAATTATGAAACCGGACTTTTAGTCTCATATTGAGCCATTAACAGTTTATGGAAAAGTGTTCAATTGTCGTTATCGATACTTTAAAATACAATGATTCGGCAACTGCTCCTTCTTTTGATAATAAAACGAAAAAAAAAGCTTTAGAAAATTTAAAATGCATATGTGCCCTACTGTATTTTAGTACATGGCCAAATCGTAAAATATATGGCCCTAACTAAAGAAGTAAGAAAACTATTGTATAGCATTTAAGATTCATTATTTATGCATAAGTTTTAAATTGGTAAATAAAAAATATTTTATCAATTTGTTAATAAAATTTATGTTTTATGAATTTTTAAAATAAAACATATTTAAATTTCTAGTTTCATTTTTAAATTCTGAAAAAAACCCTAACTCATGGTTGATTGTACGATGTTTTGCTATTCTATGCCGTAGATTCTTCTATTAAATACTACTAATTTGCTGTTATCCTGACTCTCGAAATACTCGACTTCACTCCTATCATTCAGCTACTTTGTCGTTACTACTTCATATTTTCTTAGTTCATGGGTCTAAATGAGCATTCGGCAAGTACTTATCCAAATAAAATAGCGTTGTATACAATGTATTTACCTAAGTTTATTGTGTTCACATGTGCGGTGTCACTATCACCGAACATTGGATATATTCCCATGTCATCCTGGTTACCGAGTACAGTTAACAGCTCTTCCAAACTCGTGATCTTATTGTTTGGCATTTGTCCGGTTAATATATCGTACCGAATTTCCCTAGTCACACTGCCATTGTAACCATCGTTGTGTAGTTCCGGGTATTTCAGATGAAGCAGTCTGAAACGGACAAAAAAATAATATTTATATTGTATGCTAACGTTGGGGTTGACGAATTTATTACAACACCTTATTATAGTATGACAAGTTCATACTCATTGATGAATTATACTTATTTAACATGTTCGCTATAATCTTTATAACTATACAAAATAACAAGTCCTAACTGAGTAGCTGATTCATCATCGCCTAGCCCTAATGAATGGATGAAACAGTTGAAATTTGGCACACAAATAGCTATTATGACGTGAGAATCCACTAAGAAAAGATTTTTAAAAATTGAATCCCTAAGGGGAAAAAATAGGTTTTTAGATATTTTTTGGTAATAATATCGAATTGTTCATTTATTTATTTTTGCTTATTCACCAAGGTACATAGACGACAATTTAGTTATCACGGATAAAAACTATGATTATTGATATTATTGTTCACACTATTACCTAGCAATAGCAAAGCATGGCCGGGTCAGCTAGTAATATATAAAAAAATATACGATAAAAATATAGATTATCACGAATAATTGAAATATTGTAAATCATAGTGAGATTGGTAGAAATAAAATAAAAAATAAAAATTTCTAGTGAGGTGAGTGGAAACGTGCAGTAAGACAAAGCTTGTAAATCAGGGGTATCAAGCGTGCTATTTAAAACATAGGAAATGAAAACGAAGTTAGTATTAATATGATGAGAAGTAAACTTAAATATTGAAGATTGAACGCACGCAAGTATAATTTGTGAGGTGAGATTTTTAATTGATATCCGCAGTTAATCTTAAACCAAGTGTGGATGCCAAACTGTCACACAATATTTAAAAATTGGTTTTACCAAACCGAAGTAGTTCCGATTGTAAAACTTAGCAGTCGGAGAAGGAGTCTGTCTATTTTTGAGAATGTAAATGTTGGATTTCCGGTATTATATAGTTGAAACATCCTTCGATAAAGACATAATTAATGGTTTAGAAAAGCTTAGCTAATTGTCATATGGTGTGAATGGATCTATACATATAGAAACATCAGAAGGATCTATGAAATTGAGAACAAGTGTGATACATCTGGTTTCCCACACCAGGGAGACGGTTCCTTCATCGAAGGAATCTAAAAATGAACTTAAATAGGGGGAGCAATAGCACAGCAATAGTTAAATCAGAAACTCCATCTGGACCATTGGGAGAGTTTTTTTTTTAAGAGTTTCTAGGGTAGTTGGAACGTCTTCGGAGGAGAAGGAGCAATAAGATAGTAGGTACTACGGATATTTATTATTAGAGAACGTCTTGAAAGTAGTGGGTAAATAGGTTATAATATGGGCAAAAAATATTTGGAGAATAAATTTGCAGTATCCTTGGAATAGCTAGATATTTTTAAGGAGATCAACTACAGATGGAATTAGTGGATTATAAATCAATTTTCTTTTAAAAGTCCAAAAATAGGATGAATTTGATAAAACGGTACGTTTAATATTACTAATAATAAGGGAGTTTTCATGCTTAGATTGACGTTTACATTTGGTTTTCAGTTTGGAGAATGTCACGTAGTCAAAAAGTAATCTCCACTTTTTAATGAGCTTGCTATTTACTTACAATTAGGCCTTTAAGAGATGTGAAGACTTAACTCTGGAATTCGGAAGCCCTAAAGCTCTGAAGATTATGATATTGCAAAATTTAAATCAATGAGCCATACTTGTCTGCAACTATTTAAAGATATTATTCCATTCGATTATAATCCAAATAGTAAACCATTCGATACAAATCATTTTAAAGACTTGGGTGTTTTTTTTTGATTTCAAAATTACTCTTCATCAACCTATTGCTGACATAAAAAGTAAGACGTTAAAAATGCTTGGATTTTTTATCGTTATTACAGTAATTTTTAAACATCTCTGCTTTACAAAATAATAACTTGTTTTTGCCAGATCTATTTTTAAGTAATCTCGTCATTATGAAGGTCATCTGGTTAATTTAATAGGAGTAATAATCTTAAGTAAGTTGTTGCGGTTTTTGTGTAACGAATTTAAAATTCCAAGATAATGATATCAAATATATGCATTTCTATTTCAAATTTTAAAATTTTACATTCTAGATACAAAGAGGTTGAAGCCAAAAATTGTTTTCTTTTTTAAAAATCTTGCCGGACAAATTAAGTGCCCTGAAACACTATCTTTCCATGTTCCTGTGTTCCTGTTTCCATGTTCCTTGCACAAGTTATCCCATCATGATATTCATTTAACATTCAATTAACATGTTCAAATTACACTAAAATTCATCTATTAATTGAATTATGTTTCATATTATTTCGTAAAACCTTAATTATTTTATTTTCGCTGATTACAATATGTTTAAAAACTACCTATGTAAATGGTTTAAATAAATTAGCTTATGTGTATAATTACGTAAATATAAATATCAAGTTACTAATAAAACTACATAATAGTATGCGATACTTTTTTTTTAACATTTATGTCAAATAGTTTAATAAAAAATAATATACTATATAAAAACAAAACGTTTGATTATCATATCTCCGTCATTGAAGTCAAACTTGCTAATACCTAATTTATTTTAAAGAAATATTTTTAAAAAAAAAACAATACTGATATTAGTGACGGGTGAAACCACTGTTGTGCGTAGGAAGTTGGATAGGTAGGATTCATAAATTTGTATAATTTATAATTGTACGCAAAGATAAACCATTAATAAAGAAAAACAATTCAGAGAAAAGTCGGAGGTAAGACATATATTGAAATACCGTAATTTTAATGATTTTCGTCAAAATTTGATTTTAAAATATTAATGGAAAAAAAAAACGAATACATTTAACTTAAAAATGAATATAATATAAATGAAAGCAAATCGATATTTAGTCATTTTTCGAGTGTAGCATTATTTCTAAAAGAAAAAATAGTTTGTTTAATTAAAAAAAATGAAATCATTAACGATATGACGGCGCCGTAAATATTTACCTTTTTACCAATGAGTTCCATTTAAGTTTTTCTCAATTATTTAGTAAACCCTATTGGAAAATCAAAAAACGGACTCCAAATTGCACCAACTCTGCATGTATGTATACCCTATATACCCAGTACATGGGAGCAAGAATTCTTTTCGAAAAATTGTTTACAGACCGAAAAAAAACAAATCATAGTAAAAACCAATAGATCCCTCGCTATGTTCTGAATCTAAAACTGAATACTATAACAATACCAATACAATGAGATTAAGTTTAGATGACTAGGAGAATACTTGTAAGGAATACGTCTTATTCCGAAAAATTGTGTTATTTAAGCATATAATTAATAGAGGGGTGAGTTGAAGTATACAACTCCAAATAAACACATCTTTTATGCTACAACTGACCAAGTACAAAATCGCATTTATCTAACTTTATGTCGTATAGGTGTTTTCAAATCTAAAAACCACCCTCGTTCCACAACAACATCATGGTGAAATTCATGTTAAACTTAAAAACAGTTTTTATAATTTCAATCACCCTAAAACCTAAATCAAATTCCACAATTTGACCACATTTGGTGTAGAGTAAACAATTAGTTTTACACACCTTAGTTTTTTTTATTCACATATAACAGATTGGAATAAATATATAATGCATATCGTATTATATATAAAGGACACAAAGACTACAGTTGTCTTTGTTTTTTGAAAAAATCTGACTACGAATGAGAAACCGTAGATGAAAATAATTTTTGGCTATAAGGAAATAATTTTTATTTCGTTATATTTTCAGTATAGCTTTTTATCTTTATTATTTTCCCGCACGACTACAATAAAGTAAATACCTATTCGTGTGCAATGAGTTGTAGCCCGTCGAAAAGCTAGTAAAGGAAGCTTCGGAATATGGACCTGTTGGATCGGGGACCACTTCGATCGTGTAAAACACCCGCTCTCCTAAGGGGTCATTTAGAAAACCCAAGTTGACGTTGAACGCATCGGCCGTGCCACAACCCTGGTTAACCAAAATTGACATGACTTCGTTCAAGTCAGCCCCGGAGGCCAGCAAAGCTCTGCAGATGAATTCCCGTGCTGGAAAAAAATAAAGTTAGGTTAAAATAAAATAGATTATCCCCGACAGAGACGGATATAAACAGCAAACTCACGAATTCTGCCCCTGAGCGGTTTGCTAGCGAATATCGTGTTGACTGAGAAAATAACACCAAACACATTGTGGCCACTGGCATATCCAGAAAGATGTCCTAGGTAGGTGAGTGCTTCAAACTTCTCTTCTCTGGCAGCAAAAATGCCGCCCTTCTCGCGTTCGCTCGGGACCACGTGCGCGGCTAATATGATATAGTTGTTAACCGTCTCGATCAACGCGTCTTCGGTGTGGCCCAAAAACTGTATAATAGACCAAAACCGAACGTGTCACATACTAAATCGTAGGTTACCGGTAAAAGCCCTACAGTCCACACTTGCAACAAATGATCGTTACAGGCATTTCCGTTGCACAATGAACATGTTAACACCTAACGCGATGTATTGCAGTATCAAAGTTGGTCAAATTTAAAACCATAAACGTATATCTATAGTTAATTCCCTGAATGATTAGTTTTTATAAAAATATTCTGTGTAAAAAATAATCAAATTGGTCCTGTAAATGGTTTAGACACCTATTTTATAGTGACATATGCAGTGAAATTATGTGGTTTTTGGGCAATATTATATCTATTTTTGTCACATTGGGCTGTAGCGATTACAATAAGCTTCGATATCACCGGTCACGTAACGAATGATGGTGTAAATGTAATAATAATAATATTCGCCAACATTGTTGTGAGCACATGGACAATAAACATGTCAAGCTTATATAAATATTATAATTTTTTTTTTTTTCAGATAAATATAAACTCCAAAATTCAATAATTCTTTAGTATTTCAAACTGGATTAACTCTTTTTTGTCGAAAAAATAAAATCAATGTTGCACAGTGCAAATTCTACTATATCTGTGATACAAATTTGGTTTCTTCAATAAATCTTTAGCCTGAGCAGTGTTTTCCAACGCAGAACATGTTATTCAGTCACGTGAAGTACTTATTTATTAAATACTCCTAAATCACAAACAAGACCTTGGAAAACAAAGATTTTAAGCACTCAAGTCGTTAAGCCTCGGAATTTTAAAAAAAAATTGAACTGAACACGAAATAGAAGACTCTCACTTCACAAGGTGATTCTTTTATCACGAACCAATGTAAATTTGATATTTATGTGGTTTTTTTTTTTATCTTAATGGAATTTTGTAAGTTTTACCTATTCTCTATAACTGAGATGAGTATTCACTTAGGAATTTTAAACAGCTATTCCTCCTCCTTTCAATCACAGATTTTGAACAGAGAATATTTTTCTAGAAATGTTGATATGTATAACAATAATATCAGAATAACTGTTTATGAGCTACAATAATTCAAGATCTGTTTAAAGGAGTAAGGGAGAGTAATAAATTCTGTATCGATTTTTAAACAATAAATTGATGACTCTTCCCAACTCCTCCGGTTTAAACGTTAAACTGTACTTAATGTCTAAATAATCTTTATTGGAAAGTATGATTAATAGTGGGAGGGAATTGCAATTTAAAAATCTTTTTTTGATACTCACTTTTAGCATTAAGAGTAGTGATAAAAAAAAATTTTAAATAGTGTTAAAATATCGGCTAAACGATTGAATATTAGTTTTTAAAAATATGACGTCAAATTTACATAAAATCTTCTTGCGAAAAAATTGCTGGTTTATGAGAAAAATATTACTCTGTAGTTAATCAGCCAGACACTTGCTAATCACTTCATCGACCTTTCCAGAGCTCATATGGATAAGAGATTTCATAGAAAAATTAAAAATTAAAATACAAGTTACGAGAAATAAAGATTTTTGCATTTCTAGTAGTGTACGTATATTTTTTTATTATTTTTGTCTTACCTGTGCATTGTTCTGATTGACTAATATTGAAGTGCATCCAATTGGACCTGGGTCTGGTGCAGTATCATCCATGTTCAGAAGTAGCGTATCATCCAAAGTCATTAGAAATAACTGAAACATAGATGTGTTTATCGAAATTTGGTACTATCGGATGTAGTTTAAAGGTATATAAAAAAATCGCGCGTAAATACAATGAAAATTGGACTCCTTCCCCAGTTATACACGTTTATTATTTCTTAAAAATACATATTATTGAAAAAAAAATAATTTTTTTTTCAATATTTTAAGAATAATTTGTACATTTCTAATTTAATTATCAACTGATTAGCTGTAAAATAAACAAAATACGTTTATAAGTTTAAACATTTTGAAAATATACAGCAAAAATGCGTGATATGTACGGTTTTATTAGAAAACTCTTTAATTGCCCATAATTTAAAAATATACATTTTAGACCACTCCCCTCTCTAACGAGATTTTCTCCATCATTTTTGGTGTACTTTCATAAATCGACAGCAGTTCACCTCGCCAAGGAAAAAATTGTAAACATGAAAATAATTTGTTCGTTATGCGTAATGTAAATTAACATATTTGTTTTTTACGACCATTTAAGGAGCATATTATCATTCAAATTTTAACGAATAACATTACCTGTTCGAATGGTACTCCCGATCCGTCGGCCATGCCCTCCATCTCGATCACATACTGCGGGAAGTATTTCCTACAAGAATCCAAGCTCTCTTGGTAAATCTGTTTGCCTTTCGGAGTCGCGTACGCCGCTAGCTGATCATTGAGCGGTTTATACGCTTTAACAAACTGTTGGATCATGTTGGCGTACACCCGTCCCTGCGATGAAAAATAAATCAAGTTTACCACCAACAATATTATCCCTAATAGTTTAAATCTCCAAAACTCATTCAGAGCTTTGACCGGAAGTATCCGAATTTTCCCTTCAAGGATCAATAGAGAAACTCATCTCATTTGAACATTTGTGGGAATCGAACCTAAAGAAATAATACTCGTCTGTACAAACCACACGGGAGGGAGAATGGTGTCCAAATTTTTTCAACCTAATATTTAATATTTTTTCGCTTCATAAATTTATTTGCGATTTATATTTTTAAATTGTTTGGTAAGCTTAAATCTCTAAACCCCCGGTTATTATCATAGGATATTTATCTATGGAAGGTGAATACAATTCAGCTATTCTGAGTGTAGTTTAAAAGTAAATAGTTATTGTAATATATGGTTTTTTTTTTTCGGAAAACACTGTTTGAGATAATATAAACTATAAATGCTGAATTTGTCTTTGCTTCAAAAGGTACTAAAATAATAATAATGATCTATTCGTTGATCTCATTAAGAATATTAATACATTAAATTCCCCTTTAACTATTTTATTAATATAATTTTTCGACATTTTCAAAATTTTTTCAACAAATTCCTCAAAATATTTTTTTTTTTTTTTTTAACACTTGTTGAATGAAATAATCCGATTTTTTCACGTTATATCTCAATACTAAACAATCGTTGTTCTATACCTGTAAAATTTAAAAACAGCTAACAAATATCGACACATAGATATTGTTTTTAATTATTCTGCGATTTATTTATTAGCGTTTTTAATAACTCATCATTAAAATATAATGTAAATTGATAAATTTCACTTAAAAAATTCACATTAATTTATAACATTACTATCTAATTAACTGATATTGATATTGCGTATTGTACGGTTTTAAAAAATAAATACGATTTTTCGATTTAAAAAACCGCTATCAGTTCATTTCGATTCTGATCATTCTAATTCGTTTATCTACTGGTAAAATATTGTATGTATGTATTGTATACCTAAAATATCTACGGACATAATAATATATTGTTATGATGTGATCATAATAGCCATTGCATGAATATTATCATAGTTACTTCCTGTTGTGCCCGTACGAGTTTTTGTGCTCATGTGGGTTGTTTTATTTGTTCGGAAGTGTGAGGATCTAGTTTTTATGAGAAAGTACTACAGTTCTAAGGATTTTTGGTTACTATTATTATTTTAATGTAAGTCAAACTATATAATTACAGTGTAATATATTGGTCTGTTGCGACTGTGAATTTACGCCCAAACAGATATGGACGAAACTTTTTGACGGCCCAAATTATTGCTAGCAATTCCTTCTCTGATGTATTGTAGTTTTTCTCAACCTTATTTAACGTACGTGAGACACATGCAATTGATAAATCAGATCCTATTTTTTCCTGTGTTAAGATAGCATTTCTCCAACTCGATTAGTTATTTCTACCTTTTGAGCATAAGGAAGTCTATACGGCTTTTGAAAAATTGAAGAACATTTAGTGTTGGGTTATTATTTTTAATTCACGAATTGGACGAACGCCACTTTTGACCGATTCTTTGGCGTTTCCCGACGTTGATGGGTTATCTTGACTTTCCCTTCTTGAATCTGCAATTTTCTTTTTATAGCATACTTCTATTATATGACCAAATCTCTTGCTATAAATACATGATACTTGTTTAATATCCTGATTCCTTTGATTATTGAATCCTTTGGATTGTTTATTTTGTTGTCCAGTATCAACATTGTGATTTCCGTATCTGCACTCATTTGTATTATGGTTTGATTTCCTGCAATTTTTACAATATTTACTGTCATATCTATTATTTGGTTTGTTATTCAACTAACGTTGGATTCCTTTATTTGATTGATAAATTTTTTCTTCTTCTAGGCTATCCTTTATGGCTTCTTCTAGCGTCGAGTGATTCTTTGATTTCACTACACTGCGAATAGAAGATGGTAAACCTTCAATATACGTAGTTAAGGTTGTTTCTTTTATGTAGATATATATAGCTTTTACGCCACTGGATGTTTTATCCTTTGTGCTTACATTACAGAGTTCGTGCAATAGTTTTTCTACTCTTGCTGCATACTCTCGTACTGTTTCTTCTTGTTGGAATTTAGTCGTAGTAAGCTCTAACTGAAGATATCCTGGTATGCGTGTAGCACAGAATGTGCCTTCTAAATTTTCCCTAAGTATCTTCCATGTGGAAATTTCCATATGTTGGTTTATTGCGAAAGCTTTGCCTGCTAATTTGGTTATTATAACCTGTAAGAGCACAGGCTGTATAGTCTCATTACAACATTTTTCATGACAAAATTGCATGCATTTATAAATAGGTATACCTCCTCCTGAACATTTTCCCCATTGAAATGTGGAATTAATTTAACTGTAGTCTCTAAGGATAATATAGTTGAAGAAGTGCCATTGTGCTATTAGATTCTAAAATTTGAGTATTATTTTTAAATCTATTAATATATTTGAATTAAAACTTTTCGATTGCCTACGATCATCATTAATGTTTTCTTCTGAAGATTAACTCTGTGATCTAGTAATAGGTCTAAATGATCCTAATAGATTTTTAACAATCGTTCGCGATGGGACGTAGTTTTCATCTAAATCAGAACTCTCGGAAATACTATAACCACCACTAAACCGACCTGATATGCATTCAGTTTTATACACAATAAAAAAAAATATAATAATAATAATAAATTAATTGAATAAGAGTATCGTAGCATCACCACCCCAAATAGTTAATACCACTACTAATATCAAAATAATAGTTTACATCAATACTTATAGTAATAATATTAATAATGACAACGTCTTATACTCATATCTGTCGATACAACGTAAAAAAAAACAATAATAATATTCAGTAGTAGTAGTTAGCTTACAACATTATCCGCATAGTGAATACCATGGTGCGTCGGTGTTAGCGTAACAGTTTATCACGACGGCAGGTACTTTAGCAACACGACGGTGGCAATCCGCGGATGGCGCAGTATCACATCGATGTGACGATGACGATGACGACACAGCGACGGCGACGCCGACGATGGAGATGTGAAGAATGGAACACAAAATCGAATACAATGCCTGCCTACTAAAAACGGTGCGTGCGTCGCTGACAACACATAAACGCCCGTGACAATTTGACGACAACGATTGATATACCACCTCGTATATAATGGTCCTTATGACGATATACCTACGACGAACGAATACGTTTTAATATTTGCAAAGGGAAACAAAAATTACCTCGAATAGATATATATAAGATATACAAGTTATCTTTCTGCAGATGTTTCTTCCCCAAAATTATGACCGCGACACCGCTGCCACCAGTTGTTGTGCCTGTACGAGTTGTGCTCGTACGGGTTGTTTTATTTGTACGGTAGTGTGAGGATCCAATTTTAGGAGAAAGTACAACAAAACAGTTCTAAGGATTATTAGTAACTAAAATCATTTTAATGATTAAATTTAACTCTTATTCTCTAATGCAAATGGCTTATTCTACTATACTATATACTATAGCAATGTGCTCACAACGCTCCCACCCCTGAGGTATAGGTAATTTCCATTCGTATAATAACTATAACGAATTTTCGCGAATGGTGGTACATTTCGATTAAAGTCCTATCGCTATTATCTTTATAGCCCCGTTAGTTATTAATGAGCAGACAATTATTATTTATGNCACACGGGAGGGAGAATGGTGTCCAAATTTTTTCAACCTAATATTTGATATTTTTTCGCTTCATAAATTTATTTGCGATTTATATTTTTAAATTGTTTGGTATGCTTAAATCTCTTAACCTCCGGTTATTATCATAGGATATTTATCCATGGAAGGTGAATACAATTCAGCCATTCTGAGTGTAGTTTAAAAGTAAATAGTTATAGTAATATATGTTTTATTTTTTCGGAAAACACTGTTTGAGATTATATAAACTATAAATGCTGAATTTGTCTATGTTTCAAAAGGTACTAAAATAATAATAATAATCTATTCGGTGATCTCATTAAGAATATTAACACATTAAATGTCGATACATAAATATTGTTTTTAGTTATTCTGCGATTTATTCATTAGCGTTTTTAATAAATTCATCATTAAAATATAATGTAAATGGTCGCTGATAAAATTCACATTTATTTTTAACATTACTAACAAACTGTTACTGTTATTGCTTTTTACGGTTTTAAATAATAAATACGATTTTTTCGAATCGTAGAACCGATATCAGTTTTTGTCTATTCTGATCATTATAATTCGTTTATCTACCGGTAAAATATTGTACGTATGTATTGTATGCCTAAAATATCTACGGACATAATGATTTATTGTTCTGTTGTGAACACAATGGTCATTGAACGTATATTATCACAGTTACTCCCACTCCTGAGGTATAGGTGATTTCCGATTGTTTAATAACTATAACGAATATTCGCGAATGGCGTATATTCCGATTAAAGTCCTATCGCTATTAAATTTATAGCCCCGTAAGTTATTAATCATATAATGAGCAGACAGTTATTATTTACGTGCAATCGAGGTTTGGGAACGTATTCGATTATGTTACATAATATTTACCATACATTTTTAACGCATTCGCGTACTAACAGGTTACGTCTCGTGTGTTATATTACGGGATGTCTGCGAAAATCAAATCCGGAACTGTATCCGGTATTTTGTGACGCGTAATTTTGTATGCGATGTACTAAATAACCATATAGCTCAGGTAATACAGCCAAAATTAATAGTATTATACTGAAAAAATTTAAAAATGTATTATCATACTTACGACGCTTACTCCGACTTCGTAGTGGTTGCCGGTAACGTAGTGTACCGATATGAAATTTTGTCTTCGGGGTAGAGTCGACAGTGAATGCGGTTCTGTACCTGACATGGTATTCAAAACGTGATAATTTTTATGAAGACAACACAGCGAACGAGAGAAACAAAATACGGTTTAAACTTAGAATGAGCAACTGATCGTTTCGCTTATTTCCCGACACTATGGTGAGATATGGTTTCAATGCGGTTACGAATATTATCATAATTCACAAGAATTTTACCTGCTGATTGATTTATTGGTTCGGTATTATCGCTATTACAGAGTGATCCATTCATCACGAAACAGAGATTTCCTCGGAGGAATATAAGCTCATTTGAATTCTGTTTCTTCAACTACTATGGCATCGTTTAAGCAGAAGCGTACCTGCGGGGGAGGTGCGAAGGGGGCATTTCACACCCCGTGGGCCGTATATTAATTTTATGTAACATTATGTGTCCATTGTTTTTTTTTTTTTTAATTTGTAAGAAGTTTTCTATTTTAAAAATGTGTGAAAATATATTTCGTTACCCCACCCCCGGAAGAGAGGCCGAGGTACGCCACTGCTTTAAGGTTTTATTTTAGTACCTACTTTTTTCAATTTGTTACGCCTAGTCCTTATAAAGTAAAACTTTCGTTAACAGTTACCTCTAACAGAAAGTCACCTCTGTGTAACGGTATTTTTTTTTGGTCCCGTCAAGTGTTATGACTCTATAGGAAACCTCGAAAGGACGGTTACTTGTAAATATCAGTCATTATTTCCGGTCCCTTCGGTGATCGTTTTTACCGCACCACAAATGAGTATACCTTTGTTAGATTTTCAAATACGAATCCCGTCTTTTAAACACAGATTCACATAGAGGATATTTTGCAATTTATTTTGAAAAAAAGAATATCGGATTTACCGCGCATTTCTGAGTTGTACATCAATCTAAAATTAAGATCGGAAGACTAGTGAAAGGTTATCAATTTATCATTATTGGACGATATGCAATTAATGATATTACTAATGGTCACTCAGTAGTCGAAATTCGACGGTAATTAATCTTTAAATTTTGAATTTTGAATGTAATGTAATGTCTCTTGCGAAATATACATTTATATATAAATATAAATATAAATATATATATGTTTATAAATATTATATATTATTGCTGTTTATTTATAAATGTATTCACATGGAAATCCCCGTATACCAAAATGCAATGTAGACGTCATGTGGTCGTAGTTGTGAAAACCGAAAGTGATAGTTACAAGGTAACTAAATGGAAAACTAATTTTAGATTCCGAGCAAAGCAAAGAGCGTGTTATTTTTACTATGATATTTATTTATTATACGGCACGTGATAGGCGGGTGCCCCGAATGAAATTTCTAATTCGGCAAAACGAGTACCACTATAACGACTCGTGTACTCGGCTAATAATAATCGAAAANTCGCGACAATTCTTTGCGAGTCCTGTAGGAGGTGTTTAATCGTTAAGTTCGGCGATTATTTTTGTGCTCGCTGAGTCACTCGCGGTTTCCCGTCGTTGTCGGTCCGACATGAGGGACTCATGCCGATAAGAAATTTAATCTTGCTTTCCCACATGACCCGTCCATTCTCACCACTAACTGTTTTGACATGTTTTAAGTATTGGAGAAAATCAAGTGTAAAGTACAAATAAAGTATACACAATGTTCGGATAATGATCGGCCAATTTACGAGTCGTGTGGGACCGGATTAACGTGTATAATTTATATACAGAGTGTAACAGGTTTACTTGAAAAATGTAATAACTTTTTTTCTATTAAATATCTTTATGTTAATATTTTTTATTTTTATTATTATTATTATTATATCTTGGTGCTATAATTTAAATACTTTTTAGTTAGATTTTAGTATTTGGGAATTCGAAATAAAAAACTAAAATTAAATTTAAAAATCAAAAAAAAGTCGAGGTATCCATTTTATAAATCCGAATTTTAAAAAAATATACTAGGGTAACGAGGACGGATGCTACCATTATTATAGGCAATTTAATGTATACTTGTAAGCAACAATAAACCATTGCTAACGAAAAAACAATTCTAAACGGAGTTCAGTTGATAGTAATGCTTTGAGAATATATGTACATGCCGTATTATGGTAAAATAATTAAATAGGCATTATGTATTTTCTTTAATAATTTTTGTTTAATGTTGTACCGATTATCCTACGTTTTTCCCGGTTTTCCCATGTTTTTCCCCGGTTTTTCACCTTTGCTGGGAAAACTCTTGGGAAAATCGAAAAATGAATACGGTCAGATTTGCTTATAGAAAAAGAGTGCTATCGTTGTAAATCTGAGCAAAATTGTTGGTATAAAAGTTGTACACTGAAATAAAAATCATAATATTTTAATAATAAATTTCGTACATTTTTCCTCCGTTTTTATTCGGTTTTTTAAATTGTATGAGAAAACTCCCGAAAAAATTGAAAAATTTCCTACTTAGAGTACCTCCTCATACCGATTTTCTTTCAAAAAAAGTGGTTCATTTAAAAATCAAAGCATAAAAATTTGCGCATAGATAAAACAAAAACAAAAATCTTAGTAAAACCATAATCTTCATTGCTCCATAAACTAAAAACAAAATTGTATACTTATTGTTATTAGTAATTTGGTCTCGGGTGATGTTATTTTGTAATTCGCTTTTAGTTTTATTAAAAAGCTATATTATTAAAATTAATTTTTTCATATTATATGTTAAAATGTATTTCTTTGTGCATACCTGTTATCAGGATATATTAGTAATTTTTTTATGTAATCGATTTGTCATCTCGAATATTTGATAAAATAGTATCATATTTTAATGATTATAATGATTATAATAAATTGTTGACATGGATTCATAAGAATCTTAAAATAAAACTTGAGTATGACTATTTACATTTTGATGGACTGTTGTTATTTTCTACGTTTTAGTGCATACGTTTGTTGATTTTTTACATTAATTTGTATTTTTGTAATACTTCATAGGTTTTATTAAATTAATTATCGATACTTAACAACTATTAACTATTGACTAAAATCTAGAGAACAGTATTAAGAATATTGATAGGAAAAAAAATGTTGAATCAAAACATACCTCATAAATCTATTTAGATTCATAATAACAAACTGCAGGGGCAAAGGAAGGGAAATATATCGGGAGAGAAGTTGAAAAAGTGTAAAATTGTCAAAAATATCATACTATTAATACTGTATTACTCTTTATTTTAGGTACTTGTAGTATATATATATATATATTATTACAATAAATTGAAATCAAGGATC